AAGTTGATTTATTTATTGGAGGGAGGGGGGGGGGAATGGATACATTTCTTTTTGAATGCTATTCTTGAGGTTAAAAATGGAACGAGGTAGCATGAGCAATCATGAAATTAACTTATGAGAGCAAGAAAACTTCGACCTTATGCAACAAATCATTAAAGTTAACCATAATGAGTCAGCATAGTGGACTACACCTTTAGAGAACATGGGTAGTTCAATGTTTAAAAATGTTTGTCACAAATAGAACACATGTTGTCCTGACGTCAATATATACTTACTAACCCACTGCTTCGTTTTTCATTTTTTAAAATTCGAAAAGGTCTTTCCATTGCCGTGTGCAACAGTGGCAAACTGCCCTAATCCACAAAAATAAGAACCGTTAACATATTTGAATGAGGAGAATGAATTCCGTTGTTATTGATAGCGTGTTCAATAAAAATAATTAAGAAGATAGAGTGCCTGAAAGGAAACGGAATCGAATATCTCCAGTGAATAGAGTGCACGGGGTTATGAATATCGAGTATTTATTTATATCAAATGGCAGGCGTTTTGATAGTTATCATTAGTACTTTAGTTGACTTCAGGCTTCACAGAGGGAATGGATCATCGAAGTGAAAAAAGTTGAGAGGGGTGGGGGAACAGAAGATTGTTTCAAAGATGTTACAGACACAGACACATAGGTAGACAAAATGGTGAGGTGAGTACTGTGGAAGTAGTCGAATATGACATACAGTGGGGTGATGGTAGTTTGAAGTGAGAAATCAACTGTCAGTTAATAGACTTTTTTGCCGTATGAGTATAAGTTGTCCAGGGTGCATCACGTGGAGGTAAGTCTATCCCACACCCCCTGAATATCGTGTCAATCCCGCAACGAGGCAATCATTTTCTAATAAGGAAGTGAATCACTATCAAATTTAGCCATTGGTATAACCTTGGAGGATGACGGTTTTTTGCTAAGGCTAATTAGCTCAAACTTATGGAAAGAGGAATCTTTCCTTCATCGACGTTTTCCTGATTGGCTAGTAATTCACCAGTGCTAAGAATTTGATTCCAAATAAGAGCTCGAAAATGAGGTAGCTGAAATATCCAATGACTGGGAGACAATTTTTCCACAGATTTTTTTTGAAAATAGCTCAATTTCCGTCTTGATAATTTTTGAGATTATTATATAGATTGATGGAGATCGCTTTATGAAAGTATATTCCAAGGATCATCTCACAATTTATTCATAACCCCTTAGTTCACTTCACAAAAGATAATAACTTTTCACCTTAGGTAATATTGCTTACCAACCTCGTTGGGTACTAATGATTTACCATTTCTTTATAAGGTTTAGTTAAGTTAAACTATTCGAAAAATGTCATTCACGTCTAAGGGGGGGAGGATTGAGGGGTTCGCTATATCGAATTTGAAACGCATACACATTAACATACAAATAAATGACGCAGTCATATCTATATTTTAATTCTGCTTACAATTTTAATTATTTTATTGCATTTTCATTTCACTGCATAATAATTGCATGGAAATAGACCAAATGACAGACTGCTTTTGCGATATGGTTAGCCAAGGTATCCTGTAATGCGATGTGATAAGTGTACCTTCTACTAACGGAAAATATGCGATTAACGGTTTATGGAGTCCAAAATGGTCACATTTACAAGGTATTTGACAGTAAAAACACAACCCATTTACAGAAATTAAAACTGATTTCTTTATCCACCAGAACCTTTAAAATAAGCAAAATAAGCCTAACATGACTAAACTAAGCAAACCTCATGCCCCCCTCAAACAATCTGAAGATTGCGGTCATGGACATCTCCCCCCCCAATCAGCTGTTAATATTTCTTCAAGTTTAGCTAAATGCTTCCAATTACTGATCATATTTGCCGAGGACATCATTTTAATAAACCCTATACTTGCCAGACATCTGCTTCCTCTATATAATGTTGAGGAAGCTTAGATAATTTCGGACCCTTTGCGTACAAAGATGTTTTCCAATGCCAAGGCTTATTAATGTCGAAAACTGGTAGTGTTCTTCCTCTTCTAGTTGTGATAGAGACAGGGCTTCCTGAACTTCCTTCACCAATGGAGAAACAGGAATTACATCACCAACCGCTTTATCTCCCCCTATTTTTATAGTTATAATAAAAACAAGCGAACAAAAATTTCAGATGTTTAATGCTTTGCTTGATCGCGCAGTAATGGAGAATGGGATATATCCTTATGTAGGCTTCTAGAAGACGACTTTCCCGATGAGGCACAAATTTTAGTTAACAAAGACTAACGCTTTATGCCACTTTTCGTTTTAAGACATCTACATAAGCACAAATCTAATGAAACTCTTTGAGACATTTTCAATGTTTTGCTCCTTTGAACTAATCGTTAGATCACGTCTACCTGAAATTTAAAATGTTGGCTTATGACTGCTATTAAACTGTGATGATGAAGTAAATCGGTTAACCCAATTCAAGAAAGTAGGCCTCCAAAATGCTGAGTCAAGAACTCATTTCAACTAAATAACTCAGAGCATAGGACAAAACAACGAAAAGTGTGACAAACGATTACACCAAGGATTTATTTAAACGGTTGAATATATCTACTTATCATATACTTGAACAATATGAGAGTAAGTAGAAGCAAGGGCCATTGGAACCTCATTTCTTTACCATTTAATGCCCTTAATAATGCCGTCAAGAGTTTCAACACTTTTCATGAAATGGCATTTTTCCTCCTGAGTGAGATCGATCTTAATCACAGAGCTAATACCGTTGCCATTGATGACGCAAGGAACGCTTGTAAAGACATCATCAGTGATACCAAAATGACCCTGAAAACAAGTAAAGGGAATAAGTTAGTGAAGGAAATCATTCAGATTATTCTGAATTCCAGGAGTTTGACGCACCTTGATGCAAGTGGTGACAGGAATCACTTCGCCCTTGTTTTTGAGAATCGAGCCGCAGAGAGCGGAACAGCAGAGGCCAATGGCCCAGGATGTGTTACCTTTTAACTTGATGATCTCATAGGCACTGCAAAACAATAAGTTAAAACATTTAAAAGGGAATATACGCGTATGACTGAGAGATGAGCTAGGTCGATACCAACCTTTGCACAACATCGTGATGTACTTGAGCGAAATTATCGGGATCATCAGGTTTGAAACACTTTGGATACACATCTGTAAAACGGGCGCATCCAATTGTCAAAGAACTCCAAACAGGTACGCTAGAGTCCCCGTGTTCGCCAATAACGAAACCATGGATAGCGTTGGGACTCATATGCAGTTTCTTCCCCAATATTTGTTTGAATCTAGCGGTATCAAGCATGGTTCCCGAACCCATAACACGGTTTTTAGGAAATCCACTAAGTTTCCAGGTGACATAGGTCATTATATCAACTGGAAAAATTAAAACAAGGTATCAAGAGATAAAAAAATCAAGTAGAAATTATGCCATAATAATAAACTTACCTGGATTAGCAACAACGATTATAAATGCTCTGGGGCTCTCTTTAACAAGCTGAGGAACAAGCTCTGTAAACAGGAAAGAGAAAGCATATAAAAGGGAAGTGATAAAATCATCTTACTTTTAAAAATATCAACGTTTCTTTGGACGAGATTAAGTCTAGATTCGCCAACTTCTTGCCTAGCACCGGCAGTGATAACGACAATGTCGGAATCTTTAGTTGTGGAGACATCTATCAGAGATAATAAATTTTGGTAATGAGGATAATGAATCAAAATATATTGCCAGAAATAAAATTGAAGCATTACCTGCGCCACCAATAACGCTACATGAGTCAATGAATTGACATCCTTGCTGCATGTCCATAACTTCACCCTCGCACTTGTCCTTGGCAATATCATAAATAACAACAGTATTTGCAACACCTTGAGTAGCAATTGCAAAAGCTACTGCTGAACCGACGGAACCACAGCCAACCACCGTTACTTTGGTGCTGTGGAGGCAAACTGGACCATTTTCTTGGGGAAAAGTAAGGCGACCGTCGCTCATGATTTTGTCAAAGCAGACTACTCTTGATAGTTTATATAGGAGTTACCGATGTCAAGGCCGTGCTCAGTTGATTTAAATAGGTTATTCTAAGAAATGCAAAAAATAACAAATCTATCACTTTTCAACAACAAAAGTCTAAATTCAGACATTTCAAAATAAATCTTGATACTTTTAGTGTTAATTGCTTTGAATATTTTTGTGATTTTTTAATTTACTGAGCAAAAATTTTGAATATTGAAAATTCAATTTTACTATGTAAACCAAAACAATAGAAATAAGCCCCAATTTATGGTACTCAGAACACAATTAACTGTTTTTGAACAAATTCTTTTCAGGAAATATTTTTAGCTTAATAATAGTTGCCCGTTGATAATTGTCTTTGTTTCTTTTCTGTTTTATATAACTAACTAATGAGGCAATTAATAGACATAAGTAGTCTCTCATAACACCATCTATAAAAATAAATGTACGATCAAATAGAGAAAAGTATTTGACCAAAACTTCTATCTTTTTAAATTAAAAGATCTACTCTAATAGCAGCAATTATATCTTTAGAGCAGAAATCAAATACCATACTTTCCCAGTCAATCTTCCTTTTTGACTTCATGCATATTAACAAGATAATCTTCTATAAAGGGAATCTCATGCTATCATTGGGTGAAAACAATAGTCACAATAAGTTAGGATAACAGAAACAAAAAATTATCTCCTTTTATTACAAAATGCAGAAACTACGAGAGAACGACAGTATGGAAACAAAATTAGGTAATTAAAAATTTCGCTCAATGTTTAGACATGCAAGAATTCAAAATACTACATCCATATGCGAGTTAGATCAGATTTCAGTGTTCGTGCGGAAAGCGTGTAAATCACAACATATCGCTAAGTCGATTTTTTGATACAAATCCTTCCTAATGATTTGTTGCTATATTCCTGCTGTATACTACTGCTTATGTAAATATTTTTTACGGCAATTATATACTTAGTAATAAGTGATTGAGAATCAATTCTTCAATACAAATTCCAATGTTGCTTATAAATCATACTAGTTAAATGCCTGTTTGCACAACTGAGTCGTGCTGTTTATCATTATAAGATATTTGTAATAAGGCATTTAATAATCGTCACCTGTTTTTTTTGCATGAACATGCTTAACTGATAAATATTGATAGGATTTAAATGGATTTCGTAATTCCCTTATTAGCATGCTTTGGATACCAGATGCAGATTATGCCTCTATTTAGTGACTCGTTCTATTCTTTTTCCAGCTCTTCTATTTACGTTACAACTATTTAAAATATCTATGGTTTAGTCGCAGTATCCATTTAACCCTTTAACGCCTGAATTATTTTTCTTGAAAAGTGTATCCAACAGTACCCACACGTGTCTTACAGTAGACTTACTCAGATGAAATGAGTTTTGGTGGTATCGACCGAAGTCGATAGATGCAATAAACACGTTTCAAACGTCAATATCACCTTTTGTTACGAATCAAGCACCAATGGGTCTTATTTTGGGAGAGGGCTGCAAGGTTTATGGGTTGTTAAAGAGTTAAAACAACTTAGTGCACCATTTTGAGCTTGTCAGTGTCTTAAATGTCATCTGCATTGGGTTAATTACTTTTGAATTCATATTATTATATTTATGTTAACTTAATTCAAATCCCTCGTTTATGCAACTTTCCCAAAATGACTATTCCGCCTCAAGAACTCATCAGTTCCTTCATCTATTGGCCCTTTTAACCTAAACGGCGCAGTTCATTGAGCTCTACTTATTTGTATTTCGGTATGACAAACCACGCTTTAACTTTACTGTTTACCCATATTAATTACTTCCAAAAAAGTACTTAATGATCATTCGACCATTGTCAGCGACCTTAATCCAGACTTGACAGAACACCAGCTGAGCTAATAGATGTGATACATCTGCAGCCAATAATCAAACCTAATCATTTACTATTTGGATGGGACTTAACAAAGAACTGATATAGATGAGAAAGCGTGCTATTTAGTTACCAGTCGTCGAAAATAATTGTGAGTTTATACCCATTGGTTCAGTTAATGTTCTATTGTTTGCAAATTGCTGCCAAAATGTACGAATTTCTGTTTTGTAGCAAACGAGACAGGTCAAAGTTATTTTCGCACCCAACAGATAGTGGCGCATTATCACATACAGTTTACCAAAAAAATGTAAAGTTCAATAAAAAATATCATAAATAAAGTATGGTCAAAAGTTTTTGTAAATTATTTTAATTACAGTACCCCATGAGAACCTCGATTTTTGTTATCGGATATGATAACATTCTTCAATTTCTAACAATCCACTATTAAGAGCTTTTCGTTAGATTAAAGACCATTGAGCATTTTATGTTAAAATAATTGTTCAATAATTTGCTTCTAATGGTAATTAATTTTAGTACTTTAAGTAATTTGTTATACTTAACCAAAAGACAGTAATAAAACGGAAAATTTTGTGCTCAGTTTGACTTCTGACAGAGTTAGGGTCTGAGCTCTGTAATATCGCTCATGTTTTTCGCCTGGAGTAATGTATGTGCGAAGAAAAAATTGTGAATATGGTCGAATCAAACGATCAAGTCGTAAGCCAAAGCCTTGCGATACATTTTCTAATACGTAAGCAGCATATTTTCTCATGCTCCGTTTCATGCCTTTTCTTTCTAGCATATTTTGTTATATTTAGTTATTCTTTTAACACATATAGGACATGTTATTGGCCTTTTTAGCATTCCTGTGTTCTGTTTATTTATTTATTATTTCCCCCAAAAGACTGAATACCTTTCATTACTTTGCAATTATATTTAATAATTTTAAGATTAATACTAATCAAATATTGCCTATTTTGATCTTCTATTCTGTTGTATACGTTTTTCCTGTTTTGTAAATTTCGCTTTCCTTGATATAGGAATTACTTATTTCTTCATTCTACAAATTTGCATTTAATCTTACCACTAGTATGTCATGCATTCTCTTTTCTATTTTGTTAATCATTGTTTCATCAATTATTAATCGCGCTTATTTTCTTAATTTCAACCCAGTGTTGGGTCTTATGCCAAATTATTTCTCATCTGGGCATCGATCGTCGTTTTGGATTTCTTGATGGAATTTCGTTTCGAATACATGTGGCCTTGCTGGCTTCTGATTCGTTCAATAAACGACTCTTTCAAGTACCAAGGAATCGTGAGTTTTTTCGTTCTATTTTTTTCATATTCAATTTTCTTGCTCCTTTTCATTTGGTATATAATTTCCTTTTCCCCTGTAAATTTTCATTTTTTAACGTGTAAGAGTAAGTTAATCTTATTTTGCTCCCATATCTAAGTTATAATTCTCCACTATTTTAATTCCCGCTTAACTATTTTTCCTAAGGATAATTTTCGAGCAAATTGGCGGCGTCTTTAAGTTGCTAAAAGCATCAAATCCGTTAGAAAGGTTATTTTTAACACCTATTGTTTGGAGAAGAGCTGTCCCCATTAACTTCTCTTAAGAAACTGACCCTACCCTCTCTTTTCCCTGTCATTTTGTTTGGTTATTCCTTTCCGTTGTTGACTACCTTTGTTGTGCCACATGACTCATTTGATTATATTTGAGTTATCGTCCTAAAGTTCATTTAAATTTGACCACCTAGGCCTATTAATCGCAGGAATTAATTTTGAATATTTTCTGCCTTATTTTTTGAGCTGCTAATAAATTACCGCCATTGAAACTGTTCTATAATTAGATCTGCTTGACGTTTCGACGTATTAACCCCTTTACATTTATTTAATTAATTTTAATCTTATCACGAACTTACTTTCCAATTAAGCGCTGCCCAATTCTGGTTTAAAAGAAGTAATTTTGGAGATACTTTAGCTTAACTTTGGGGCCATTTTTGCACGTTTGGTTCAGTGTTTTTGTTATTTATAGATCTCGCGCATATAGGTCCACACCTTAGCGTTGCATGTTAAATGATTAAACATTTAAGAGGAGCCAAGCGCGGGGGTAAATCATATAGTTCATTAACTAATAAATTCTGATTGCACCTGCTTTATTCTTGAAAATAGTTCGGGACTGCTATGTCATTGATATGCTTTTAAGTTACTTTGTCTTTTATAGAAAAGGTCTTTACTGGGAATTAATTGTTAATTATTAAGCTCAAACTCTATGGTAAGAGGTAGAGTTACTTTGCAACATCGGAGCTACTTCTTCTCTACTAAAGTATATTTAAATAACTAATTTTATCCACAATTGCCTGAATTTGAATTCGGGTTATATTTCTGGCTTTTGACTTAAAAATCTCATCTGGCTAACCTGCGTGCCATCGGTGTAGTGGTCAACACATGTGTCAAGACAAGTAACGAGATTGGTGCCCATCAGTGCACATCCGGTGTTGTGGGTAACCTCCCTCCCCCTCCTGCTTTATTCTGGTCTGTAGGGTGGTGAATGTGAACTATTCTCCCCCTAAGTTAAATGGTGTGAGCAGGTTTAACGGGTTTGGGTATACTATTCTAATTATCATTAGGATGCGAATACATCTTTTGCTCCGATTTTATTTAGGAATAACCTTTTTGAATCTTAGCAAATTCCTGTGACAAGGTCGTATTCAAGTGTTGGCTAATCCGCCTTAATGCTGAGATTTGATTCCCCCTAAATGTTGCTTGATTTTTTATTCATATCTATGTGCAGCACCTTCCATCTTATATAAAGGAGTAAAATAAATTCCCAAAGGGATACACTCGCCTTGTTTCCACTGTCTATGCTGTGCATGCAATGGACATGCAGCTCCAATGAAAATATTTATTGATGCAACCAGTTATTGGAAAGACCACCCGTACTAGATAATTGTGACTATCAAATGTGTTTCCTAACTTAACTCTTCTCAAAGTGTAGTTTCTAGATGCAGTTGAAAGCATTGCTCCAATTTCCCTTTTGAGGGCGAATTCTGGTCCAAATGCCTCTAATCGAGATGATCAGGTATCTGAAGGTAGGAAAAGACGAATATACGAAGTACGTTTGAGAACACTGGTTTTCTTAAATCAATGATATTAATAGGACGGTTATTGATTATTGGATAGCCGTTTGCTGGGGTTACCTAGTTTACTCTATTTTCCTAACTAAGTAATCATTTCTCTTGCACAATTAAAAGCGAGAGAAAGAGTGCGAGGACATGAAATACAAACGCGTGTCTGTTTTTAACAAGCAACTACCTGTTAGGTACAGTTTACTTCAGGTACTTCATAGGTGTTAGCAGGCAGCTATGGAATTACTGCCATTACTCTATATGAAATCCCCTCTCATCTTTCACTTATTGCATTAAAGCGTAAAGTAAATTCCGATTATGTGCTAGTGGTGTGCACTTTGTGACACTGGGATATGTCTGAGGTTTGGAAGGAGGGTTGCTTCTGGTTAGTATGAATCAAGGTAAATTTAGAAAATTCTCATTTCCGCATACTTTATTTTCTTAGTTATCACATGATGTCCTTGTTTGTTAATTCTCAGATTTGTACGTCCAATGGCTAGATGTATGCCAATGAATAACAAAACCGTAACTTCAGAGTCATTGAATAAGCATTACGGTCACTTTGTCGCTTTTTTTTAAAAAAAAATCAGTTTAATTTTTACTTTCACTTATATTGGTTACTATCCACTGTTATAAGCTACTTTATTGATTAATCTGGGGGTAGATTGTGTTTTTCCCCATTAGAAAGTTTTACGTACAAATTATGTATGTGCTACTGGTTGTTAAAATACTAGACATCAGCACCCCCTTCTTGGCTTAGTTATTTAGTCAACGTGCCCGAGATCATGAAGTCGAGCTTGTTTAATACTCTTCAAGAGGCATGAATTCCTAAATGTGTTCCATCTATTAATTGTTTGCGTTTGAAAACTTTCTATCACCCACAATGGTGTGACGTGGGGACCATCGTTAGCCAGATCATCTTTCAGCCCAAGTCCTCTAAAGGGAATAAGTGAATTACATCATCACATCTCCCTAACAGAGTAGCTCTCTTTTGCCCTTATTTTGGCAGGTTTACTTATTTACTCCGCTCGATGGATATCTATTAATGGGCTTTAAATCATTGATACCTTCTTTGAAATGCCTCGCAGGATATAATATTCTGTATATTGGCTCACATTGACGTCTTGGATAACCAATCATGCAGGTTAAACTGATGGCAGTTTTGATATTTTAAATCAGCTCCCCTTACCGTAGATGAATTCTGGAGTCGTGAGCATAGGAGGCACACGAGACTACTCCGATCCTCACAGTCTGGAACACCACACACGTTGCGGCCACGTTGTGCTCGTCCTTCATAGCTTTGTGTTGGCTCACCCCATATGTACCTATACTGTCGTGTCATACGCGTTTACGCACTCACAATCGTGTAAATATGAGAGAGCTGGCGATATAGCGCTGTCGATTCGCTCGCTCGGGGGGATATGGAGGCGCGTGTATGCGTTTATGTGCACGCTTTCTTTCGCTTCTATCACTAATCGCGCGTTCTGACAGCTCTCTCTCTCTTTCCTATTGGTTCCCATATTTACAACCTTGCAAATTCTCCCAACTGTCACCAGCACCCACATTGGTTGCGCAGACTAGCCAACCTTGGGCTTGAAAGGTGAAGGAATTTAGTCTGACAAGTGTTTTTTGCTGTGATGAGGTATCCTTGAAACTGATAGGCTTTTCAATCCCCGACCTTATCCACTTACCCAATCCAATTTGTAACATCTGCTTCTGCCACGAAATCTGTTTCTCCTAAGTACTTTATGGATACGTCGCGATTCATGGATAGAACAACAATAGCTTAATAATCTTATCATAATTAGGCTTGGTTTACTTAAAAACTAGCTTTTGCGATATAACTAGGTGGCATTTAATCAAATAGGCATTTATGTGAGAGCTAATACTGGAAATCCCACCTGAGATGTCCTCAGTTTCTCTCTCTGGTGGGAAAATTTATTAGTTGTCGCAAATAATTTTGGGTGTGTCATCTAACTTGTATACATTTGTCGTATATTGTGTCAACGTGCTCTTTATTTAATGAGCCAATGGTAAAAAAGTGGCGTTATTTGGTTCTTTAACTGGGTTGATAGGAGTTGCAGTTACTTATATCACATGAAGGCACTCCAAAAAATTCAGAGTTGAAATTAATTTTCTTAGAAAAGGCTTCTTTTAGTTAAAAAAGCAGTGGAAAGATAGTGTAATTTTATTAAATTTCGGTTTTGTCTAATTCAACATAAAAGTGGTATTACCTTGGACATTTTTGAATTATTTCCTATGGTTTAATTTAAGTTGGACGGCCGTTAACTTTTGTCTACTTCGTTTTTCTTTCGACATTATTTCAAGAAAAAAAGACTAAGATATGTCCATAATATGTCTGGTTACTTTACCATCTTTCATCAATTTTTTTCACATTTTAACATTCTAGGCGTGTTTTGATTTTACTAAATTTTACTTGTAAAGGTATGGTAGCAGGAATTTGTGTTTATTATTGAATTCTCCCCATAACGCTTTACTAGAGAGGTTGCCATAGAACACATGCCATTACAGTGCTTAAATACAATTGCAATTACTGATATAGTAGATTAGCCTTGAATTTGTTGAACGGCTATTTTTCGATGTTACCTTTCTCTCTCTCTCTCCTTTGCTTGTAGACATTCGCGATCTTCTTCACAATGATAGCACTAACCTCGGATTTTATATGCTACCTGCTCGTTCCCACCAAGTGGCTCTTTTTTTTTGGCAGCACTTGCGTCTGGATGGAAATGGTTTGGCATGCTGGTGCGTGTTTCCCTTCTTGTTATTATTGTCTTGAGTCTTATCATATATGCTCGTGCCAATAATTTTTACTATGAATTATTAATCATTCGTATCATAATTTCAATACTTGTTGGTCAAAGTTAAATCTCTTATTGAACCTTGGAACAATAGTGTTTTGATAGTAGCACAAGCCTTCAACTTTAATGTAAACTAGGAGCTTTTTTTGCTATGTCATGCATCAATCTTTCCTCATCAACGTCCCATGTTATATTCTTATACATACCGATATAATTGCGTAAGCTTACCATGCAGCTCAATTCTGAATTTGGGGTTCTTACGACCATAGTCACTCCACTTTCGCCGTAATTCTTGCCGTTGAAGGCAATCATTAGATCTAGTTGGTATTTTATTTTGCACTCTATCTGCCCTAATTGTGCTTGTTCATTTATAATTAGTTTCAGTAGCAATCATAAAGAGTGTTTTATCATCTTATTCCCCCAAACCCCTTTATTCAGGAGAGAGGGAAAGTAACTTTCGCCTGTCCATTTATGTCGATGAAATGAGCCTTTTGTAACTTAGACGCTTATTTAACCTTCGACGTGTCCTGTTTCTGTTACCTACATTGCTGTTTTTGAGTTTAATAGCATTATCTATAACCGGAAAGTTCATAAAATGGCTTTTTGATTTTTTCCAGTGTTATTCATAAATTGTTCTTGAAGGTATTTCGTTTTTGCTTATATGCCACAAATTATTGATTAATGTGTACCGGCGGCTCGTTTTACGGACAACCTTAGTTTGAGGGAGAAATTTCATTCCCCACGCAGTGACGGCTTCGAAACTTGGCTGTCCTATTTTCAGTATGGGAAATTTTTTTGACCTGTTGTATTTGCAGTGGTGTAACTTCAACCTTTCGAAAGTAGTTTATTCAATCGAAACATTTGCTCTCATTAAAACCCTTTCTACTCTGGTTCTCATCTCCTTGAAGAGCTTGTATTAAAAATTCCAAAAGGAATATAAATGAGGTCAGTAAAATTTGCAAAACGCTGCACTTTTCAGACGCAAATTGCCTTTCCCGATTTATTCACATGCCCCGGGTCATCGATCAGATTGGGGTTAAGCTAGAAGCAAGTTTATCTCCCAGTTTTGTTTTGTGTTTTTAATCTCTCCTACTGCAACAATCTCTAACTCTCTAATCTCTTTACATAACAAAATAGGAATGAATGAAGTCTATAAGCCATGATAATTCAGAGTGGGGCCAAACTCGGTTGCAATTTTACGTGACATGAGACAGCTTAATTACTATGCGAGCATGCGGTTCCCCAAATATGTATAAGACTCAAACGGTATGGGATGCATGGAAATGCCGGTAGTGCAGTATCCTCGTAATATTTTCCAACTGAAAGCAAAAATTTATTGTCACTTCACATTCTATGCGGTGTACTTATGTAGTCTCAGAGAGATGAATTCTCTCGAAGTCATTTTCCCTGTTTTTGGCCATCACAGTATTAATTTTAATCTAATGTCAGTACTCCATCCCCACCATTAAAACTCGCTTACTACCTAGCTGCTGAATGCCAATGCTGGTCTGTATTGGACGAGGTCTTTGAAAACTCCGCTTTTATGACTGGGCTTAGCATTTTTGCTTTCTTTATCACACTTTAGGTGTCTCCACTGCCCATTTTAAATCCTGAATTCGCTGGAATCCGTTTGAATTATAGTTAAAAAAATTCTCGCTTGCGAATAGTATGGACGCTAAAACTAGCACGCAATTTATACCAGAGTCTCTTCTTTTATGCCCTCCGCTTATTGTTCTTTAAATCCTTCAAGTTTTACCATTATATACATTCGAAAATGTCTATCCTCTATCTACTTAGTGGTTTATTTAATTAAATTATACTGGGTTACAATAGTAGATAAAAAACTTTTTTTATTATTATTTGAAATTGTATATATATACTAATATTCACCTGCAGCCTTAAACCACTCGGCACTTTTATGCAGCCTTCAATGTTTCCACGCCATCGATTTAAGCACATGCTTCTGTAATTATTCATTACCCTCTTAGGAAATTCATAGTTTGACAATAACTAATCGAGCTCTTGAAAATCTTAACTTATGAATATATATAAATATCTGGGATGCTAGATTTCAGACACCCTGTGGTAGTTTTTAGGCTATTATATCTCCTGTCCTTATCTATCTAAATACTTATGAGCAAATTTTTGGTAAACTTCCGCTCTGTTCTTTTCATAGGAATTCTTACTTTGATATCGGGGGAAAAATCACATTTTTATTTTTCGTGCACCTTTAACATCTGGGCGAATGTATACGTCAAGGTATGATTGGGTTTATATCATTTCGAAGTCAATTTTTAATTTTCACATCACTGACTTCTTTTTAAGAAAATACTTTAGTTGTGCTTCCTTGTCCTTCTCGTTTTAAGTAGTCAATCACGCCCATAACTGGCATGTTTCCAAGGCAATGGAATTCAAGAATTATTGTGTATTTTGGGCTCATCACAAGAAACGACCCTATTAGAATGACTAGAATGATGATCTACATTGGGAGATGTTTTTCAAATAGACGCCGGCACGTTTTTTTCATTGACTATTAATAAAAAGTTGTGTTATTATTAAATCTATTATATTAATTGCTTTCAAATTCGGCAGACCTAAAATCGCGAGAATTTCGTGTTCCTGTTCGTATTTTTCCACTTGATTTTCATCCGTTGCACTTTTAACACCTGGACGAAGGTAGTTTCAAGGCCGATTTCCAGATCCTTGCATTCCTAAATTTCTTGAAAACTATTTTGGTATCTTTCCTACGACTAAGATGGTAAATTTCTTTGCTCTTTCATCGGCAATAGGTATGCAAACATCTGCCTTAAATTAGCTTTAATTGCCCTTTCATTGAAAAGTATTTTCCCCATGATATATTTGATTACTAATGTTTCATTTGTTATACACTCCTCAGTATTCATTGTAAAAGGCTTTACTAAATAATCAAATTATGTACTTAATATATCGTAACATTCATATACGGTCATATAGTTTGGATGGTTGGTATAGATTATCGTCATTGCACATCTTGGAATGTTAGTTCTTGTAGCTTATTGCCCCTGGCCTTGTTGATCGTTCAAATGCAAGATATTCTTTTTAAATAAGATGTGATGAACAGAATCGGGAAAAGGAAACCCATCAAAGAAACTTGACTATGTAGAAATTAGTGTTGGGCTTAAATGCCTATAATTGTCTTACAACACACGAATCACCCTCCGATCATTAATCGGATTAGTGATGGTATAGGTAGTTTTCTGAGTTCTCTCTCCATTTGCTTTTGTCCCATCAATTTGCATGAGTCGTACTTTTTCTTTAATCCAGCATTATCTTTAGGTAAATAAATGGAGATATCCATTTAATATCGCCTTACTGTTTATTTATTTATGCAGAACGCGGAGTATGTGCGCCAACGGTTGCTATGTGTTTCCTTTTCCTCTACGTGGAATTGGCAATACGTCTTCGCGACCCCAAAACGATTCCCCTCAGCATCGATTTGTGTCGGCCATTCGCCGCCCACTGGTATGTCTCTTCATCTAAATCTTACGTTACTCAATATGCCCTTTCCTCTTAATGCCTTTTCTTTTCTTTATATGCCAATTATACTCTTTTAAATCAAAGCGTACAAAGCGTAGATTGTCTTTTGAAATTGTCTTGGGTTACATTTCAGTCCATTCTCGGTTTGAGCTTAATTTTTGATGTTACTGACTATCATTATCTCTCTATTAGTTTGTTCCAAAATAACATTGTAAAGTATTTTGAGTTCATGACTTTGCAAATAAACCATTCCGATAAATGTAACTGATGAGATGATTTAAATTTAACTTAGCTATTTATATTTTGCAGTTTTTGAAGGTAAGCTTTGTAGATCATAGCGATTTCGCATTTGCTGCTTATTTATCCGTCTTCTCAAATACCTTAGTTTTGTTTGTGTAATTTGTTTGAGCATTTCCTACGTCTCCTAATGGTCTAATAGTTATTTAGGGTTGAGCACATATTTGCTTGTTTTCTTAGCATATTCCCTCCTCTCTACTCAATAGACTTTCCTGATGCCAGTTTTCAATGAATTTACTAGTACCTGAAATGATGTATTGAGTATGCAAAAATTGTCTATAATGTAAGGTATGAAAATCGCGGTTTTTTTCTATCAACTCGTTAGCGAAATGACCCAGTTAAAATATATAGGTGTGAGTAGAAACCTACGTTTATAAGGAGCTGCCAACCACTTAAAAAGGAAAACTAATGCTTAATCACAATTACCTTCTCAAATGTCCTGAAGTTTAAGCAATCAAAAAGCATCTATCAAAACTTGAAGAAAAAACTTCATTTTACTTTCCGCTCTCCTTTGTCGATGCAATTCGAGAAAAAACCCACATCTTGCGAAAATCATACTTAAATTAACATAGGAATAATTGGGCCAAAATTTAAAACTATATAGCTCCCGTGAACGAAGTTCTTTTCTGACACAAGGTAAACAATCGAACAATTTTTTCCCAGAGCGTAGGAGCGACCAAAAAGGCAGATAACAATCGAGTTCAATCGGGGATTAATTAGAAGAGATCGAGGGAACGTCGAGAGTAGTACAATAAAGGTGACGCCAGAGTTCGAATTCAATTGCTTTAATGAACAGATCTTATCTGCAGTGTCCCGTGTTTATTGATCAAATGATTAATATGGGTCTGGCGGTCCTGACACTTCCGTTCAGTCATTTTCTTTCAAGGGTTTTGCAAGGGGGGTTGACGAAAGCTTGCATAACTCTGGTTTTGCCGGATTTACTAGAGTTCATTCAAGGTTAGTTCTGATAATCTGTTCTTGTCACGTCATGGAATATGCCACACATTTGGTGCTTAATTTGTCTTGAAAACGTGAATAAATGGGTCTTATGACACATACTAATTTGTTAACACACGCAAAGGGCATTACCTCAACACCAGGCACTCGACAATTGAGGAAGCCGTGGAAAACAATCATCTTTTCAAGTAAATCAACTTATTATGGATGACAATCAAGTGTATGTGGATGTAGCTTTTATTATCGAAGAAATCAGTATTATTTGCGTGTAAAGTCAACGTCTTTGGGGTCTTGTTCCATCTCGTTATGTGATCTGTAGCATCTAAGTGCATTTAGAGTGGCACATACAGTGAAATTAGTGGAGAATTTGAGGACCTATTTAGGAGTGGTTAATAAGGCGTTTACTGTTCAAATACCGGTTATCACCTATTGTCGTTTCCAGTGGTCATACTTGTTCTTGCTATTCGTGAATATGAACATGAGCATACGTTTGAATGATAGTCGTGATGATTACTCAATCTCTAAATAAATGCATTTCTGACAACGGATAGCACGTATCCGCCATGGTCTAAACGATTGAGCCGGTTGTTTGAATGTTTTTTACCTTAATGGTGGTAACGATTCTGTGCAATAAATGTGGGGGAAAGGGGGGGGGGAATGCCCATTTATGTACCAATATCGAAATGACTAATCGAGAGATGTTATGATCGATTTGTTACTATCAAGATTGGATTATCTATGTGTGAGGTAAATGATCTGTGATTAGGTTGAAGAGGGCGAGACAAATGGTTAACATTTTGGGTCCATTAGTAGTCTTCTGCTAGTGCATTATACAATCACAGACTCCAGTCTGCCCTATTTGCAATTATAGGCTTGCAAACGCATCAGATCACTTTTAAATCGGACTAATTCCCTATGATTGGAGTGGGAGAAAGCCCCTTGTGAAGCTCTAGCCAACCATCCCGTAAATTGACGAAATTATCTTTAAAATGTTATTGCAGCGGTCTCTGATTCCCAATTCCACAGGCGTGTTGACTACTGTACCTCACACCTGGAATGGGCTTTGCTGCTTTTAACGCTCCTAATAGGCATAGAAATATTATCATTGACAGTATACTGCTGCTCAAGTTGGCCACTATTAACACTGAAAAGCTCATCATCTCATTATCTTTCATAGCATTTCTTATCAGTTGACTTTTTTTGGTTCGTTTGTCTCATTAGCTTCCAATTTTCAATTTGAGAAGAATTAGCTGTGTGCGTTGATGAAGCTAAGATTGAATTTCTGAGCTTCAAGATGGGTCGGATTTGTTTCTCTTGCCAACTTAATTCGACTGTATTAAATTACAGCTATATTTGCATTAAAGGCAATTTTTCTCGATTTTAATTTTCTTCTAATTAGGTAGGTTATGAAAATATACTTTTACACGGGCCCTTTTCCGCTCAAAGCTATAATTTTCTGGTGATTGGTCATTAAAATGATCAAACCGGTGATATTTGTCTAAATGGACCTTTAATAATTCATCCTATCGCTGGAACAAGTTTTGTTATATCAATTTTCTCCTGTATTAGTTTATCGTCGACGTTTCGTTTGTTGCAATCTTGTTTAGCCTTTTGGACGCGTCTCTAACGTGCCTAATATGCCGGCATTTGCAAACTATCTCATCCCTAACTTTTTTGCTTAAGACAACAACTTTCTCAAACCTATAGCAGGAACGTATGTTCCAGTCATAATCGTGAATAAAGAGCAGAGCTTCCATACGAAATTCAAAACCTTTTAGCATTTTCTCGACTGGTACGTATTAACATGCAGTATTGACTTGCTCGTTAAAGGTTCTCATTTTCCCTCGGATTCTTCTCTAACCTCGTCCTATCCCTCCTCCCTCATTACCTTTATGCATTAGTACGCTTATTCCAGTGACTATGTGCTGATGGGTGTCAAACCTCTTGATTTCTGATCTAACCGCTACGTCATCTGTGTAAATGCGTTTAATTACCCTATAAGCGAACATTCTCCCTGGTTATAACATACCTCAAATTTGTGAAGTTAGATTCCTCTCGTTTTTTTGTCTTATGTTAGTTTATGGAAGTTAACGACAGTCGCTTTTTATCTCTTCAACTCAACGGGTTTTTCCTTCTCAACTTAGTTTTTTTTGGAGTGGGTGTTGTAGACGTTAGCTTTTTTACATTTATTGAATTGGGTAAGTCTTATACTAGCATAAGCCTTTATGCAACTTCTAAATATAACTGCGGTTTTTCGGCACAGTCATAGAACGTGACTAAATTCAGCTTATGCTGACTTTCATACAGTCATTTGGGTTCCATCTTTTAAGAGTTAACTTCTCGTTAGTAACTTAACAAATTCGCATCAAATATGAAAAGCTAGTAGATATTGCTGTCCACTTCTATTACTGTTCGAAATTTACTACTTGTTCGGTCATAGATGTTTTCTTTTATCGTATATTTGTGAAATATAGTTCGAATTGAGCGCTTTTAATGGGAATTTTTATGAGACGATTCGCGCGCATCCCGGGGTGACGTCAAATACTATCAAATTTTATACCCCACGAGACGGAAAACATACCTGAGAATTTTCAAGCCGGTACAAAGGAGGTTTATTCTGACGCGCATTATTGCCAGAGGGGTTACATCCTGAAACTTCGAGGTCTAGAAACACGTATTCTCTCCATAAGTCTTAATCAGTACCATAAAGTGCGTAAATGATCCTGAAATTGACCTCTGCAGCACCATTGCTACTCATTCCTCTGTTTGTATTTGTAACTCATTTGTTATGGTTAATCATCGGAGCTCTAACATTAAAAACACTTGAACTCTACCTAATCTGTTATAATTGAAGCCTTCAGGTGCTATAAGCTTTAGTTTAAATATGGTCAATGAATTATCAAGGCTTCGACTTTCTATTATTCTTACTTAAAGTTATCTAGTGAGGCGTAGATATAGCCTTTGAGGTGCATCAGTAAACAAATTCACACTTAAACCAAAATATTTAAGTTTGAGGAATACGCTAGCAAGAAATCATAGAAGTGCCATTCGAACAATTAATGAAAAATCCAAAAACGGTCTTGCAATTTATGTCAACGCAGAGTTATATGCATTTTGAGTTGGGGAATGTGTCTTTGTTTTTGCGCAAAAGTGTGCTTTCAAATAATTTCATTTTGATATTTGATATATCTCAGTGCAGGGAGCAGGATTAGATCAATCTCGTTTATGAGTTTTCATGAATTGATGAGGTACTGGCTATTAGAGTCGCGAGGTTCGTTCTTGGGAAATTGCTGGGAACTTCCCATGGTCCCTCTGCTTTGACTAACTATTTAATCGGTTTAAATTCAATTTTTACTTTCGTGCGATTTGTTCATCATCCTCCCGCTTATCGCATTCAAGCACGAACATTTCCATTTCCTTAAGTGCGCTCGCATATCTCTGGTAATTCAACTGCCTTTCTCCTTGATAGAAGGACTTTTTATGGCAGTTTTAATTCATTAAAGGTCGGTGTGAATGGACGTAAATGAGATTTTTTTACTATCTTTATGGTTATACTGTTATCAACTTTGGTGCAATTTTGAATAGTGATATGGGCGGTATTTTGGGCGTTGCGTATGGATCAGCCAATCATGTATTCCAATTCTTATGTTATTTAACCGTATAAAGTTGGGTTATCACATAAATAATGTATTTTCAATCACAGAGAAAGCATGGGGGTTAGACTTCCCAAAACTATTGATTAACATAACAATGAATACCTTTAGTGATAAGAGTACCTTGGAG